TGGACTACTCAGGAGCCTCGCTATGGAGAGGATTGAAAAAGCAGACAAAGAGACCATACAAATATACACCGATGGCTCACTGGTGGAGAATGGCTCCTCTGGCAGTGGAGTTCTCATCCTTAAAGATAGTATGGAAATAAAAAGAAGAATCAAAAACCCAAAGAACTTGTCAGTTTTCAGATCCGAACTAACAGCCATACTACAAGCTCTAAAACTTGTAGAGAAAAACGAGACTAAAAACATAATAATTTATACAGATTCAAAAGCCGCCATCTTTGCTATTAAAAACTGCTACTATTCACAAGACAGACTCCTCAAAAACATTGCTGCAGAAATCAACAAACTGAATAAAAATACCAAAATAAGTCTACAATGGATTCCATCACATGTGGGAGTCCCTGGAAATGAGGAGGCCGACAGATTGGCTAAGGAAGGAGCAGCTGGACATCCTGATGCGGTGAACTCCGAGACCTATCTTTCAGCAAGGGACCATACCAATAAACTGAAACTACAACTAATAAGGAACCATAGAGATAGTTTCCATCATTCTTGGTACCAGGCAGAAAACCCCAAAAAACAGACCCTCCAACTAAACAGAAGGGAATCGACACAGTTGGCCAGATGGAAATCTGGTCACCTGCGCCCTCTAGTCTATAAAGAGGGAGCCAAAAGCTTCCCCATGTGCACTAGGTGCAAAACCGAAGAGGCCACTCCCCAACATTTACTAAATTGCATTGGAAAGGACAAAAGATCCCTGTACAGTGAACCAAGAAGAGTTCTTGAGCTTCTTTACGAGCACGACCTCCAAGATCTTGTCTAATTTAGACTAAAAGGATAAGTAAAAAAAAAAAAAAAAAAAATATTACGTGAGTGTGTGTGTATAACCAATATATATATACTAGCCGAATGACCCGAGCAACGCCCGTGTTTTACCCGATTGAATGTTTTGATTCAAATACTATTTGTTACAATTATAATTTGGCGCCTTAAATAAATGCATATGTTAGTTAATAACTATAGCCTATGTGCTTTATCTGTCTATGTACTGTTGGCTTCCGTAGGCGTCTCTTACTGGGAAAAAGAAAGAGAGGATTCCATTTGGTTATTAACTAATATATGCATTTATTTAAGGAGCGACCCGCTCAAACACAATAGTTACAAAAACGAAAATGCGAGGGGGGGGGGGGGGGGGGGCATGATGGGGAGGGGGGGGGGGCAAAGGTGGCGTGATCGTAGCCGACCAATAGGAGGGCGCCATTCCAAAAAAAAAAAAAAAAACCGTGACAGAGTTGATTGATTAGGAGATTAGGAGATGAAGAATGACGCTCGTAACTGTATATTGAATAATCCATAATAAAAGAAATTGCACCTACGGAATATTTACATTCATGGACAAAATATAAGGTAGATAAATAAAGAAAAAGGCATCTCATTAATGTGCAACTGAAAGTTGGTGATGGCTTGCGCCATCAAAAACTTTCAGTTGCACGATAAGGAGATGTTTTTTTCTTAATATTCATATAGTGTTTTGTTATTTAAAAAACGGAGAAACGGTGTAAAAAATATCTGGTTAATGAAACATTATTTTAAGTTATAGGAAGTTCTATTTTAGATAATTAAACTGGGGGTCGGTGGAAGGATAATCTAAACTTTTGGTTTTCGACCGCTACGACCCGGGTTCGAATCCCGCATTAGGCAATTTTTTTCTAATTAAAAATAAAATGCTCCAATGGCCCCCGCATCTTGTAAAAGTCCAACCCCACCAGCGAGCGCAAGTAACCAAACAGTGCTCTGGCACATTTGTAAGTGCAAAATCGAACTTGCTTTTCACATGTTTAGACATGTGGTGCACTTATAGTAAAATCAGTCACTAACTACCCACCATGATTACCATGGCCTTTACCACGTGTACTAGGGATAATTAAATAAAAAAAGAAGATAATTAAACTAAACTATTCATCGTGTGTTATTAATCTACTTATATATTTGCCTTATTCTGTCTGTCTGAAGCTCACGGATGGGATTTTTCATAACCATCGGTGGTTCAGTGGTAGAATGCTCGCCAGCCACGCGGGCGGCCCGGGTTCGATTCCCGGCCGATGCATTTTTTTTTTTTTTACAATTTTTAAAACTCATTTATATATTATACAAGAATGACATCCACGGCGCCAATTTATAATTGTAACGAATAGTATTTGAATAAAAGCATTTAATTGGGTAAAACCCGGGCGTTGGCCCGGGTCATTCGTATATAATAATTGTATAAACGAATGCAAGACAAAATCACCGCGAATGTTTCTTTTTTTAAGGCAATTTCTTTTTAAGGCAATTATCGTTATTTATCGTTAATTTTTGTTTCGATTTTATTGAAAAAAAAACCGATATGGTGCCTTTAAAAAATGATCTTTATTACTATGCAGTTTTCTATTTAGTCAATATACCTAAGTTCATGTTGCAAATGTAATTATCTCTATCGATTTAGTAGGTGAAATGCAAAAAAAAAAAAAAAAAATCGACATGATGAAATCTTTATGAAAATTCACATTTTTATTTTTATATTTTCAAGACACACAGAGTTTGGGGCGGGACGTTTCACAAGAGAGACATCCACGGCGCCAATTTATAATTGTAACGAATAGTATTTTAATTAAAACATTTTAAAAACACACAGTTTGGAACGGGACGTTTCACAAGAGTGACATCCATGGCGTCAATTTATAATTGTAACGAATAGTATTTGAATTAAAACGTTTTCAAAATATATACTCACTCGGGTAAAACCCGGGCGTTGCCGGTCTAGTCAAACTATAACGAGCTAATTATTACATCAACCATTCTGTCACTTTACATTTATCCTAACCATTGTACCGACTAAGGGAATATCTAATTCCCCCATAGCCCATTTCTATAATTAAGGGGGGAGGATTTGACAGAGTGAATAACTCGGCTTCTGTGACTTTATTTAATTTGTTACGTTCTAATCCAGCAACACGGTGTCGAAAATTGCTTTCTATTGATTTTCCATTTCATTTCGTCAAACTTATATAATTGGGGAGGAAAAACACTTCTGAGTGTATATAGATTTGTGCTATCCCGATAATAGAGAGGATTTCTCAATTATTCCTATAATCGAGATTTATATATATAATTATATGGTAATTCATTAATTATATATTCGAAACCATTATAGACGCATATGATTATTTTTTAAAAATAAACAATTTCTACTGTCCTTACTGAAAACCACTAATGAGCCAGGCCCTCCTATTTATTTTTTCCATTGCAGTAAGGACAGTAGAAATTATTTTTTAAAATAATCATACGCGTCTGTAATGGTTTCGAATTTTGATAACAGATGGCGCGCTAATGCATCTTAATTAATTAAATACCCTATGTATAATGTCATCTTTATTTTAAACTGGTTAAATGATTCGGCTTCGCCCCGAATAAAAGCGTGCCAAACGAATATTTTTATTTTTATTATTATTATTATTTTTTAATTATGATTATTATCGCAAAGATAGAGGTTGCTTGGCTGACATTCAAATTGTTGCGTTGTTGGTTGACAAAGAATAACTTCCGTGGGTACAAAGGATCTTTAGGACTTTATTTAAGCCTAATAAATAAAATAATTACAGAAGAGTGCAAAATAAAAATAAAAAAAAACAATAAAGAAAACAGCAGTTAAAAACTCACCAACTGCAGCACGGAGAGGGAAAGCAGGATCAGAACAGGAGACAGAAGTTGGTAGAACCTTCAAGAATCTTCCAGGAAGTACACTGGCGTCGGCGGTAAGCAGCAGTCCGACCTCTTGGGACAGCAGCTTGCTTGGAGTACACCACGTAGCTTCGTTCTTCTACTTTCACTTCATATCTTTCTCTCCCCTCGGCATGAATTACTCATCCCTATATTGTTACATCAATTTTAATGTGCCTTACATTTATTCAAAATATTTTATGATATTTAATATTTATTTAAAACAGAATATTTAGATTATCATCATTCCTTTTTATAGTTTCACTCCTTTTGTAATATTAATTGTACATATATCTTTACTAGCCGAATGGCCCGGGCAACGCCCGGGTTTTACCCGATTAAATGTTTTTATTCAAATAATATTCGTTACAATTATAAATTGGCACCGTGGATGTCACTTTTGTGAAACGTCCCGCTCCAAACTTTGTGTCTGAGAAGCGATATTTTTATAGAAAGATGATCTGGCTTTTGTTTTCTGTTCGAATGAATGTTTTTCTGTTAGAATTTTGTTCCTGCGTACAAAATAATGAACTGGTTTCACCCGTGGTCTCTGCTTTTTGGAATTTTTCCCGATATAATTATGTATCTAATAATCAAACATGATACAGCAATATCGTCATCATCATTTTCTGACTAAAAATATATAGTTTTAATAATTAATTTGATTAATATAGTTGATATAATAATATATATTTATATTATATATAATATAAATGAGTTTTAAAAATTGTAAAAAAAAAATTGCATCGGCCGGGAATCGAACCCGGGCCGCCCGCGTGGCAGGCGAGCATTCTACCACTGAACCACCGATGCTTAAAAAAAATGGCCATCGTCGCGACCAGTGTGGCGCCTAGCGGCAAAAGGCGGGAACTAATCCATTTCAGTTAAATAATTTTTTTAAAAAGTACATTAACCTTTGTAGATTTTTGAATAGCCTATATGTTAAACGAAATCTTCAGCTACCTACATGCGAAATTCCATAATGATTGAGTCAGTAGATTTTGCGTGATGCGATAACAAACATCGATTTCGCATTTCATTTTTATATATATAAGGACTAGACGAATGGCCCGGGCAACGCCCGGGTTTTACCCGAGTGCGTATATATTTTTAAAATGTTTTAATTAAAATACTATTCGTTACAATTATAAATTGGCGCCGTGGATGTCTCTCTTGTGAAATGTCCCGCCCCAAACTGTGTGTGTCTTGAAAATATAAAAATAAAAATGTGAACGGAAAAATATGTCCAGGGTTGCCAGGTGGTCATGGCATCTGCCCGGTAAGCGGAAGGTCGTGGGTTCGATTCCCATCCCTTGACACTTTTTTTATTTTATCCATTCTGACCAAAATCTATCCGTGAACTTCACACAGAGAGAATAAGGCAATTATATAAGTAGATAATCCAAATTGTGCCTTATCACACACTATTTTTTATTTGGCCTTATTACCTTGTGTTTATAATCTATGACGTAATGCCGGCGGCGCGCGCCCGTTGGCTGCCGGCGAGCATGTGACCTCCCTGTGTGCGCGCATCCGTGACAGAACCGGCCGGCCCATGACGGTCGTGACTATATATATAATGGATGGATAATAATAATAATAATTATTATTTTTATTATTATCATTAGATAATGATAATGATCATATTGATGATGCGCGCGCATCCGTGACAGAACCGGCCGGCCGGCCCATGACGGTCGAGACTATATATGTTGACTAGACGAATGGCCCTGGCAACGCCCGGGTTTTACCCGAGTGCGTATATATTTTAAAAATGTTTTAAATAAAATATTATTCGTTACAATTATAAATTGGCGCCGTGGATCTCTCTTTTGTGAAACGTCCCGCCCCAAACTGTGTGTGTCTTGAAAATATAAAAATAAAAATGTGAACGGAAAAATATGTCCAGGGTAGCCTAGTGGTCATGGCATCTGCCCGGTAAGCGGAAGGTCGTGGGTTCGATTCCCATCCCTTTAAATTTTTTTATTTTATCCATTCTGATCAAAATCTATCCGTGAACTTCACACAGACAGAATAAGGCAATTATATAAGTAGATAATCCAAATTGTGCCTTATCACACACTATTTTTTTATTTTGCCTTATTACCTTGTGTTTATAATCTATGACGTAATGCCGGCGGCGTGCGCCCGTTGGCTGCCGGCGAGCACGTGACCTCCCTGTGCGCGCGCATCCGTGACATAACCGGCCCATGACGGTCGTGACTATATATGTTAATAATAATAATAATATAATAATTATTATTATTATTATTTTTATTATTATTATTATTATCATTAGATAATGATAATGATCATAATGATGATGCGCACGTTTGTAAAAAAAAAAATGCCTCGGCCGGGAATCGAACCCGGGTCGCCCGCTTGGCAGGCGAGCATTTTACCACTGAACCACCGATGCTTAAAAAAATGGCCATATTTAGGTATTCATTACATTCCGGATTAGTCCGCGTAAAAAAAAGTTCTTCAAATGAAAAAAAGAAATAGCCAAAAATACTAATCAAAATGCAGCCGAAAATTTTCCTCAGGTTTATAAAAAGCGACATGCAAATTTGGTACCAATTGGTTCAGTAGTTTTTGAGTTTATCGCGAAACAGACAGACAGACAGAAATTGACTTTTATATATATTACTAGACGAATGGCCCGGGCAACGCCCGGGTTTTACCCGAGTGCGTATATATTTTAAAAACGTTTTAATTCAAATACTATTCGTTACAATTATAAATTGGCGCCATGGATGTCACTCTTGTGAAACGTCCCGTTCCAAACTGTGTGTTTTAAAAAAGTTTTAATTAAAATACTATTCGTTACAATTATAAATTGGCGCCGTGGATGTCTCTCTTGTGAAACGTCCCGCCCCAAACTGTGTGTGTCTTGAAAATATAAAAATAAAAATGTGAATTTTCATAAAGATTTCATCATGTCGATTTTTTTTTTTTTTTGCATTTCACCTACTAAATCGATAGAGATAATTACATTTGCAACATGAACTTAGGTATATTGACTAAATAGAAAACTGCATAGTAATAAAGATCATTTTTTAAAGGCACCATATCGTTTTTTTTTTCAATAAAATCGAAACAAAAATTAACGATAAATAACGATAATTGCCTTAAAAAGAAATTGCCTTAAAAAAAAGAAACATTCGCGGTGATTTTGTCTTGCATTCGTTTATACAATTATTATATACGAATGACCCGGGCAACGCCCGGGTTTTACCCGATTAAATGCTTTTATTCAAATACTATTCGTTACAATTATAAATTGGCGCCGTGGATGTCATTCTTGTATAATATATAAATGAGTTTTAAAAATTGTAAAAAAAAAAAAATGCATAGGCCGGGAATCGAACCCGGGCCGCCCGCGTGGCAGGCGAGCATTCTACCACTGAACCACCGATGGTTATGAAAAATCCCATCCGTGAGCTTCAAACAGACAAACAGACAGAATAAGGCAAATATTATATATTATATATATATATATAGATTTACTCTTCATTGTTGGCTTTTTACCTTACATTCATTCTTCATTGTTGGCTTTTTATTTTACATTCACTCTTCATTGTTGGCTTTTTATCTTACATTCACTCTGTTGGCTTTTTATATTACATTAACTCTTCATTGTTGGCTTTTTATCTTACATTCATTCTTCATTGTTGGCTTTTTATATTACATTTACTATTCATTGTTGGCTTTTTATCTTACACTCACTCTTCATTGTTGGCTTTTTATCTTACATTCATTCTTCATTGTTGGCTTTTTATCTTACATTCACTCTTCATTGTTGGCTTTTTATCTTACATTCATTCTTCATTGTTGGCTTTTCATCTTAGATTCACTCTTCATTTTTGGCTTTTTATCTTACATTCATTCTTCATTGTTGGCTTTTTATATTACATTCACTCTTCATTGTTGGCTTTTCATCTTACATTCACTCTGTTGGCTTTTTATATTACATTTACTCTTCATTGTTGGCTTTTTATCTTAGATTCACTCTTCATTGTTGGCTTTTTATATTATATTTACTCTTCATTGTTGGCTCTTTATCTTACATTCATTCTTCTTTGTTGGCTTTTTATATTATATTTACTCTTCATTGTTGGCTTTTTATCTTACATTCATTCTTCATTCTTGGCTTTTTATATTACATTTACTATTCATTGTTGGCTTTTTATCTTACATTCACTCTTCATTGTTGGCTTTTTATCTTACATTCATTCTTAATTGTTGGCTTTTTATATTACATTCACTCTTCATTGTTGGCTTTTTATCTTACATTCATTCTTCATTGTTGTCTTTTTATATTAAATTTACTCTTCCTTGTTGGCTTTTTATCTTACATTCACTCTTCATTGTTGGCTTTTTATATTATATTTATTCTTCATTGTTGGCTTTTTATCTTACATTTATTCTTCATTGTTGGCTTTTTATCTTACATTCATTCTTCATTGTTGGCTTTTTATATCATATTTAGTCTTCATTGTTGGCTTTTTATCTTACATTCATTCTTCATTGTTGGCTTTTTATATTATACGAGGTTTTACCCGAGTAAAGGTTTGTCTAGCGAACATTTGTTAAAACATGCCGTGTCATCCTGAATTTTGTCTTTCCTAATTTTCTACATTAGAAAATCATAGTTTTATCTAGTGAACATTTTTTCCCGTGTCACATTGCCGTGTCATCCTGAGATAATCTTACTTTTGATAAATAATATTTAAGATAACAAACTTAGTGATAAGAAAACTTGTTATCATCGTCACAATGGGGGCGCTGCTTGCGAGTTAAATCTACAAATCTGCAAATAACTCTAAGGATATTCAAGATATTCATGAAATTATTTTTCAAAAACCTTCCCGGTGATATACCTAATAATATCCCAAAATTTCACGGCGATTGGATGTATGGTTTTTGAATCTATAGAGTACAGACAGACAGACATTCAATTTTATATATATGGATAATATAAATGAGTTTTAAAAATTGTAAAAAAAAAAATGCATCGGCCGGGAATCGAACCCGGGTCGCCCGCGTGGCAGGCGAGCATTCTACCACTGAACCACCGATGCTTTAAAAAATGGCCATATTTAGGTATTCATTCCATTGCGGATTAGTCCGCGTAAAAAAAAGTTCTTCAAATGAAAAAAAGAAATAGCCAAAAATACTAATCAAAATGCACCCGAAAATTTTCCTCAGGTTTATAAAAAGCGACATGCAAATTTGGTACCAATTGGTTCAGTAGTTTTTGAGTTTATCGCGAAACAGACAGACAGAAATTGACTTTTATATATATTATATACTAGCGGATGTACCCGGCTTCGCCCAGGTTTTTCTTGAGGGAATGTTTGTAGTCTAGTAATAAGAAAATATACTACACCTAAAAACTATCAGATAAAAGAGAAACCACGGAAGGTGAACAGAAAAATGCTTACAATGGATGTTATGTTTACGATATCAAGTTAAATGAAAACAAAGATAAAATTTGCATATGTTGGTCACTATAAATTTGTATATTTGTTAGGCGAAATTAGAAACATGATAAAACAATTGGGTATTTAAAAACAAATGTAGAAATAAAAGTTGAAGTATAATAAACAATGTTAAAGATTAGTTTTAATTATTAATCAAGATTGTGTGTGAATATGTGAGAAAGATGTAATATCGTTGTTGTTTTCTTGGCCGACTGTTTTACATATGGTGTTATCTAAAATTGCTTGTTTTGAATATTTTTTAGATTGAGATTATTAGCTAGTATGTAAAAAAAATTAACTCTGTTGAAATTTAATTTTGTATTTATATATAAATAAAATTAACTCTGTTGATTTTTTTTGTATTTAATCGATAACAGCGAAGTTACGCATGTTAATGTTAGGAAATATATTTTGATGTTAAGCAAAACCTGCTCCATCTCGTTTTACATAAATGTTGAAAATTTGGTTGAAATTGATGCATTGTAACGAAAGTTTTTAGTGATGTCCACTTATGAAATTTCCATTTTATTAATATAGATATATAGAGATTTACTCTTCATTGTTGGCTTTTTAACTTACATTCATTCTTCATTGTTGGCTTTTTATTTTACATTCACTCTTCATTGTTGGCTTTTTATCTTACATTCACTCTGTTGGCTTTTTATATTACATTAACTCTTAATTGTTGGCTTTTTATCTTACATTCATTCTTCATTGTTGGCTTTTTATATTACATTTACTATTCATTGTTGGCTTTTTATCTTACACTCACTCTTCATTGTTGGCTTTTTATCTTACATTCATTCTTCATTGTTGGCTTTTTATCTTACATT